AGTACCTCCTTTCTCTCTGCGCTGTGACGTTTTCCAAAATGAGGACAATAAGCTCCACAGGGATATTACATATTTTCGGCCTTGGCTTGTGAAGACAATTCAGTGAATGTCATCGTCCTGGTAGCATTCTTGAGCATACTGTGGTTAATATTTATCACAGTCTAGCATTCAGCGTCCTGCTCACTACACTGACATAGCCTGGTTCTTCATGCCTTACCGCTCTGTCGTCTGAGGGGGGGATTTTGTCATAGACAGTTGTCCAGAAAAAGGAAGACACACCAGTCCACTTCTTCCCCTACGTAATGCTGAAACAGCGCATGTAGGCCCAACTGAAATAGCAAACAAGAGGAGACGTGCGATGGAGAAAAAAAACAAGAGAATGATCTAACTAACAGGTCTCCACTCCAGTCCCCATTCTCTCAGTGAGACGGAGATGTGGGTGGCATGTTGACTCTTTAGCCCCGAGTCTGTCTTCATTGATGCCGCTGTGTCAAAACGCATTTCATCCAGATGCAATAACACTCGACAAGCTGTTTAATCCCATCTTGGTTACAGCGCCATAAAGGTGAAGAAAGAGGACGAAGGGAAAAATGTGTGTGTGTAAGACGGCGAGTGTCGCTGCGAGGAGGGGGTAGGGAGGACTGCTTCCGTCGCCCTATCACAAAAAGGCAGGCTTTGAGACGGGGCCCAATCATTACCGCGACTAGAGCTCGTTTCCATGGAGATGACGCTGGAATGATGTTGGCTGCCTATTGATTGTTCAAGAGGCAGTACACACTGCAACACAGGGAGGCTGCAGGAGGCAGGCAGAGGAACAAGTGTGTCCAGTCCACACTAATTCTAATGTTTTACTGCAGTTGTGCACTAGAGAAACAAATGTCTGACAAGGTGATGAATGCTCCTCAGTAAATTTAGCCTTGGACACAGACATTAAAACACATATAAAGCTGCTGGTCTGCAAAAGAGAAACTCTGTCACAACTCAATGCTGGTTTACAAATTAACTTGGCATTTATCTTTACTCCACCTAATTGTCTATCAAATGACCAGGGCAGCTTAGTAAATCTCCTTAACAAGCAGTGGCATGACTACGGGCCAGGAGGGGGGTTGTTCAGTTATTTGGGATGGCATCTGGTTAAATCCTCAGTCAACCAAGAAACTTGAATTCAAAAAGCCTCACAATTCTATATGGGTAAACCATTTTAAGATATCACTATCACTGTGGCAACTGCTTGTTTTACAACAGGCATTGATAATAAAAGATAAAAATAAATAAAAATGTGCAAGAAAAACCATGTTTGTAGTTAGTAGCAGTAAATTTGGTTCACTATCACAAAGACTAATTCAGACTTTCTGACTGTAAACTCCGTAAAGAGTTACGTTTTAGATGAGACCAAGATCCTGACTCTTATCATAAGGGATCAAGGATAGTGACCCTTTCATTTTGGGTATGTCATTTTCAAGCAAGTGTACAAGAAACTGTATTTAATGTGCACTGGTCATGTTATGACCCAGTCCACTTAATAAGGTCACTATTGGTGCAGATACTAATCTAGCATATCAGATCAGTGCATCCCCAGTGGCAAGTTAAAAAATGTTCAACCATCATCAACTCAAGTGGCAAATAGCCAGTTATTTCACATGAGCGGCAGCAGACCTCTCTCCTTGCAGTGACATAGCTGCTGTCATGTTTACAGTGAAATAATGGAGACAGTGGCAGCAACCACCTGCTATATGAAAGTAACTTTAGGAACAACACTGTATGCTGGGGTACGGGAGACAGTATCTATCCTGAGGCAATAGAGATTTGTTAACTGGTAGCTAGTTTGCTATACTGTTTATACTTAATACTGTTTCTCTGGGTCTTTAAGGCCATTGTGGGTTAACAGTTTATTAATTACATTTAATGTAATTATTGCACTGTCAAAACATTAAACTACATACAGTAGATTCATTTAGTCTATTGCTAATATACATAGTTATATGTCACAATAAATAAAATGTAGTTACACATTCACCACAGTTATCAGTCCAAATACATTTACAGCAGGTCAAAACTTATTTTAATACTTTGTAAGTGCTTTGTTGCAGTGACAAAGCTTGCTGAGGCTTTACTCTGCAACAGCTTTGATGAAGTGCAACAGTCTACCTTCTGTTCCTTTAAAGGTCAGACTTTGAAAAGCCATAGCTGTGTACAGCAATGTTAAAAATAGACATTTTGCCTTTATTCTTTTTAACTGGTATTTTTCTGCTACACTGCCAGTGCAGTCAACACAGAAATTGTTCCATTTACAATGGCTCACTCTGAGAATGAAAATGACATCCATTTTCCCTAAACTGTCTATCATCCCCACTTTAATGCACTGACAGGCGTTCAGAATGTACACTCAGCACCACAGGGGAAAAATGAAGAGCCTCCACCAGACAGATTAGGCTCGTGGCTCAGAAATGAACTTCCTACTTTGTCCTAACGCTGCATTTCACTTTTAATTATAGGGTGCTCACAAGACCATGGCTCCAGTAGCCTAAAGACTGAAAACAACCCTGATGTGAACTCCACTGAACACTATTTCTATTCTGCTTCAGCTGCTTTGATAACATAAATGCACTCTCTGATCGGGAAAAGAGGCACTGACAGCGACAGTGACAACAACAAACAACAAAATACTGCCGCACACATGACCACTGCCACCAGCAAGTCTTCTTATCACAATATGCACAGCACAAAAACCTCACTGAGCTTAAAACATTACAAAAACAAACAGCAGCATGCTCTGCACAGAACTGAGCTGTAGCCAGGTCCATCATGGTTCACTGGTATTGACATCCTATCACGCTGACATATTTTGACAGCCTCCCTGTCTGCCTGTCATGAGACTGAGAAGCCGGCTGCTGCTCGAATACATCTGGCATTAAATGTTCTCCATTAAATTAGGACAGGAGGGAAAAGGAGCAATTCTAATTTGGATCATTTGGAGTTCAGCAAAAAGCAAACGTTCAATAGCTGTTGGTTGACTGAGTTGTTACAGTCTCACCACAGTGATCAGATACAGCAGCAGATTTACACACCTATTGTGTGCTGTGTTGGATCATATTACACAATATAAATAATGGCTTTTCTTTCTTTTCTTCACAGTCCTCTTTGGTTTTCTTTTAGCAGTTTAGACATTTAAGGAAATTAGCATTTGATCATATTAAGGAAATCACAGAAGCCCTCATGTCAGTAGAGCCAAAATACACATGTTGTAAAACACACTTACACACTTACACACAAAAAACAATGTGAAATTGACATTATTAAAAGAAACAGGCATGAGCTGGTCCATTCCCATTTGAACACCTTTTAAAAATGGACGTCTCCCTGATGCCAGTTGCTGTGATAACGCCTCTCCAGGCCTGTGAAATAACTATGAGGCTTGGCAAGTAGGTTGTTGCTGTTTAGACACAGTTGAAGCTTTGATTAATTATTCAATTTCCTCTGTATGAAAATTTGATCCACAATTTTTGAGACGGAAGCACACTGACCCACTTCTGCCACTCCAACAAGAGGCATAAACAGATCCACCCACACATGTTAAACACCCCCCCGTTCATATCCTGCACAATTCTCCTCATACAGACCGTGTCAGTCACACTGAATGTTTTTAATATATCCTGCATCATACTGGCTGTCTGTAACTTTATAGTGGTTATTTTGTACCTATGTCTCATTGCTACAAAAAGCCAAATAAACTCCTCATGGAAATGTCACCAGTTGTTCTCCATCTTACTGCTGCCTTTAGAAAAGTGTAGCTCAAACAGGAGAGAGCTGTTTTACAGTTACACAGTCTTCACTTGATTGAGGCTATTTGATACTGAAAACTACCAACAAGAAGAGAGAAAGAAGGCTATGATAGCCTAAATGGTTTATGCCTCAGTTGTTTTGTACATAATGTGGACTCCACAACTCCTGGTACAGGCTTTCACCACACTGGCATAAAGATCTGTTGATTAAAGAAGATGGTAATTGATTTGCAATGACTATAGTTCACATTATGCTTTGCTCTGATGCAGCCTGCGCTGTGCGTGGTGTGCTAAATCAATATTAATATATCGGTTCTGATTTGATGATCAAGGCGTTCGTGAGCAGTTCTGTGATGTTGCCTTCCTCTATGACTATTGTGGTAATCAGCTTGTGTTTAAATAAACACACATCTACATCTATATTCTATCCATTTATGAACTGAGGAACACAAGAAGCTCATTTACTACACAGACGATACACAAAGCTCCACTGCAATACAAACGGTTTTGATATTAGATAAAGCAAACACAGCGGTTGATGATTATAACAGAGATCTGCTATTAGCCTGGTCTTGCCATCTCCTAACTTTACATAAACCCAGAGCATTGTGTCTGTGGGATTCCTGTATGTGTCTTGTGTCACACTTTTAGCCCCAAGTAACCAGATTATGTCAAAACTGTATACACCAAGCATTATCAAATTTGTTCGGATCCTGTTGTGACACCAGCTCTCCCACTGCTTATTCCACATCTTGAGGACTGAGTAGGCCTCTGTCTGGTGGTACAGCCATTCTGCAGTCACTCTATCTTAAGGTAATATGATGAATAGATTCTGGTCTGGGAGCAATGTTTTACTTTACATCATAGGGAAAATCAGACAGACTGTGTGTGTTCACTGCCAACACGTTCCTGTCTCCCTTTCCCCATACAGGACCTGCCACTATGTCCATCTAGCTAACATTCACACAGGTGAATACAATGTATGCCAATCTTTTCATATTAATCTTACTTAAAACTATCATCTTATTAAAATTCCCATGATTTGTTACAACATATATATAAAATAACTGTATTGCCACAAATGCTTCAGGGCTTCACAGTCAATGAGTATGAATCAAGACCACCAAAGTCTGTAAGTGCACACTGATGCAGATTCTGAGTTAAATATATAAGAGGAGATGCTAGCAAAGCTTTACTCATAAATCTCAAATAACTTACCTCCATGTTTCTGTGCGTGCATTTGGAGGACGGTGACCCGTCTGACCCACAGGACTCAGCGCAGTAGGGGGGCTGATCGTCCCAGCCTGCATGGGGAGTGTTGTGAGGGTGACAAATTTTGCTCCGACAGGTGTCCACGACTGCAGCGGTGGTGCAGGGGTCAGCCGCGCGGAGGGCACTCCCTGAAGGCTGCTTTCGACGATCTTGTTTGGTTTTCGTGTTCGGGGAGTGGGAGGCACTCTGGGGTCTCTGCTGCAACGTCCTGGAGCAGGTTAGGAGAGGCTTCGTCTGACAGGAGTTACTGCAGTCTCCCTGAGCTGGCTTTCTTGAGGGACGTTTAAAAATGCCGCTGGGGGGTCCTGCTCTCTTCCCCCCCTGCAACAGTCTCCCGTGGGCGTCTAGCAGGTGGCAGAGGAAGACGGCCTTCTCTAGCTTCAATTCCTGCCTGTCATGCAATTTATAGACTGGCTGCTCGCCATTTATCTTCTCGTACAGGGTCAGCAGCAACTGCTCCAACTTTGTATACGTTTCTCCACCAGACAAACAAAAAGCCTCGTTCCCCGAGGACTCACTGTAACGTCCACTGTCTTTAATGCTCCCCTCCTCAGCCAGGAGACGCCAGCGTCTGCCAGGGTGCCTGTCCGCTTGGCACCGTCGCCTGGCCGTCAGCTCCCTCACGGCCCTCTGCAGTTCCCTCTCTGCTTTCTCCCGCAGGTGCCTAAGCTCCACAGAGAGGTGGCTGCGCTCCTGCTGCGTTCGGTTCTTCTCCGCTTCCCAATCAGCACGCAGCCTCTCCAGCTCTCGTCCATAGTCCGCGTGGCCCTGGCATGGTTTCTTGGACGACAGTGCCAGAGGGTTATGCCTGTCTTTCCTCATCGTGACACATTCACAGCACAACATGCAAGGAACGGCGAGACGTATTGATTTCTAAAGGAGGGCCATGCATCAGAACTGAGAGGAAGTAGTGCAGGTGGGTGATGGGAGGTTATCAGACATGCAGCATGCAGTTATCACACCAGGTCACTGCAAAGATGAGACAATGGAGGGTGTGAAGAAGTGGAGACATGGTCAGGTATATTAAAATGAATTTGAATAATGTATTAACAGGAACTGTTTCCAGCATGGTGAAAGCACAGGTGATTTCAGTATTGGTCCTCTCTGTTAGAGGGATGGTTCAGAATAAAAGAGGGCAGCACACTGAAAAGATTTAGGAAAGCAAGCACAATGAATACACCAGTGAAAACTGATGTTCTGTTATAAATGGAGAGAGAACATGCCTCTGTAAACGACATGCACTGAG